ACTCAGAAAGCACAGCGGCGAATTCGCTGAGGATGAGCTACTCCGACAATTATGATATTCGCGAGAAGGGGCTTTGGATGGGAGAAAAGAAGAGAAAGGTTTTTCGTTTTGCCAATCGGTCGAAAAACACAGCAAAAATGCTTGAAAATATCACATTTTGTTGTTTTAATTAATATGATTGTATAATGCAAAATATTTAAAATACAATCTTATTTTATTATCAATTTTATTTCTTGCTTTGTCTATAATACTACAAAACTATGACGATAAGACATTTGCTGTTATAAAACTAGGTTCGCATGAAGAATTAATATTAATAATTCAATTCAATTCAATTTTATTGTTGTTCTGTTAGACAAGAATATTAAAAGTAGTCTTTAGAACATGTCAGGTCTAAAATTAAAATTTAGAGAAAAAAACCCCTTGCTTAGGGCAAAGGGAAAAAAACAATAAGATTAGCGCGAGATATTTCACTAGTCAAAACTGCACAGTAAGTATTCGTGTATGTCATAGAAGTTGTGTCCACTTAGAACTTGTTTCAGTTCTTCATTCTTGCAGTTATTGGATTTGTATTAATTTGCAACTTCCATAATTTGCAAGCAGAGAAATTTTAAATGAATTTTAAATCAGAAAACAGTTTTGAGAAAAGAATTCAATTACAAATCTAAATTATCTCAAAAATTTCTGTTGCTAGAGAAAATTATAAACTTAAAAAAACAAAATCATTGACCTTACATTAAAGGATCATGATTTCTCTTGATGAAATTGTTTCAATTTCGCTAGTCAAGACTCTTTTTCTCACAACCTTGACTTTAAAATAACAAATTTAATTCTATTTCAGGATGAACATACTTAGAACTTGAATTTAAATTTCGCGGAAACATCAAATTTGGCGGAGGGTGGGGGGGACGACAGGTGAGTGCTTTACTGGCGAAAATGCACGGCTATTTTTATTCGCAACTACTCGCCATGAATGCTGGCCGGGTGTGAATGGGGCCGTGGGCGGCGGGGGCTGCGTGAATAGCGGGGCGAGGTGAAAACTTGGCACACGGCTCATTACCTTGATGCTGCCGGTGCTGCCGCGCTGCTCATTACACAACACACAGCAAAATCGTTTCCTCTCCAATTTTTCAGTCAGCAGTAGGGAAAAAAAACGGCTGCTGTGCGAAATTTCATTGAGTGGCAAAAAGTAAATAAATACATAAGTCAGAGAGAGGGAAAAGATCTGTCGCATGTGGCCGCCGGCTTATAAGACAATGGATATATTAACAGGATGTAAAGTGACGAGAGGCGCCAGCAGCCCTTCGACAAAAAGCCGCCGCGATGCGTCTGCAATACAAAAAATGTCGCCCACATAAAACGGCAGATGTGCTTTTGTTTCTACTCCATTGTCGCCCAAATGAGTGTTTCGGAGTCAGCGAGCAGCTCTGTGATTCTTTCTGCTTCCTGTTGGATCATCTGTGTACAGAATCTCCCTCTCTCTCTGCTGCGCTTGTGAGATTTTCCTGACGAAATCATTAGAGGACACTTTGATTCCATTCATCATTTTAATTGGCTTTTCTTTTTAGTGCATTTTACGTGTCAAAGTTGCATTATTTTGATGCTCCGTGGAATAATTAATGAATGTTGCAACAAAGTTCTGGGAAAACTCGGCGTGTCGGATAATTATGCTGTGTGCTCCGAGGACAAGCGGGCTTTCATTAATTTCATTTAAGGCGTTTAAAAGTCAAGATTTAACACATTGGGTGGCAAAGCTTGGAAGTGTAGAAAAAAATTATAAAAAAAAATGAGTTTTAAAGTTAACCGCTATGTATATGAGATTTTTTATTTATTCTAAGAAAAATGTTGTGCCTTTTATACTTTATAGTTGATCATCCTTTTAAAAAGAGAAAATTTTAATATATTGGAGACAAAAGAAAATATTCACAGTATTAAATTTCCTAAAAAAGGAAATGGACATGTTTTTAGAACCCCTGTTTCCATCCGTTTGCTTTGGTAAAATATTGTCGACAGTTAAAACACAACTGCGGATTTAAGGATAAAATTTGGGAACTCCGTCAGTTGTGTCTGCTTCATCTCATAATCTCAATTTCCTTTTGAAGATTATTCGTTTGCTGCACGTATAAAAAGTCTGCAGCGGTGCCGGCAGACGAGAAGTCATAAACAATTCAGAGCTGCAAGCTAAACTGTTGCATTGTCTTTTACTACCCCCTCGAGGGTTTGTTCTTCTGCTCGCAGGCAGGGGTCAAGAATTAGTTAGGGGAGCTTGACGCAGCAGCCACTGCTGCACACAAACCGCAACCCAGATGTGAAAAAATATATAGGAGGAGAGAAGAAGAAGAGACTTACTCTCCAGTGATGCATTATTTTTCGTCTCGAAAACACACAGGAAAGAAAAATACATGGTGTGGGGGGAGAATTGTTAAAAATTGCAGGCCAAATGGAGAGTTGCGACACATTTGAGCGAGGACCACATTGTTTCAGGCCCATCTGTTGAGAGTCGAATTTCTCTCGAATGTTTTGAAAAAGAGATCTGTATGGACCAGTTCGTTCCCAGCATCTTTTGATCTCGTCGCGCATTACGAATGATTAAACTATTCCAACCGATAAGCGACGCACAATGCGCGTTCAAATCTTTCGGACTGGCTTAATTGAAAAGTGGTTGGTAAATAAAGGTCGCTGCATAATTATGGCAAATAAAAGAAGCCGGGGTGCAGTTGACCCTCGAACCAGAGCTGACCCTGCTCGTTCTTCACTTCTCTCAACAATCGCTATTATGTTGGGGAGGAGCGGACAATGCACTGAAGCAACCCCTGTCTCCGCGTCTCATAATCACCGTTATAGAAAAGGGGTTGCGAGATGTCATAATTACTACCGCAGCCGGCAATTACCTTGATTATCAAGTCAAAAAGGGGCATCCGTTTTTGATTTATGAACGTTTCAACTCGCCGGAATTTTTCCAAATCTCTAAAGGATAAAATTATTATAAAGTTTGAGGAAAAGTGCAAGTTGGTTGCGGTTGCTGCGATTAGCTTTATTATGGTGGATTATACAACAGAGTCGAGTCGGTCCAAAATCTTGTATTGTCTTTATCGTCATTGCTTTTTTTCAACTTCCGGTACTTTTATCTCCTCAATTAAAATCACAATCAACACACACGCCTGCTGATGAAAGTTTTTATAGTTTTATAGTGATAAATTTCAAGATTAGTACATTATCTTGCGGTCAGAAGAAAATTAAGAGTTTTAATTGTGAGTTGATTAGAAATATAATAAGCATACATTTTAGGTGCTTCGATAAGCTAATTTTTAGATACGTCCATTTTAATTATAATTAAAAACACTTTTGAAATTCCATAATTACGTAGCTCATTATTTTCGCCTTTTGAATTATTTTTGAATTTGGAATATATTTTACCAGAGAAACTGGCAAAAAAAAATTGATGTCAAGTTCTGGCATTAATTTACTTTACACCTTTTCTCTGATTGAATTTTTTACTAAAAATTTTCCAATAATCAAAACCAAGAATTGAATGTTTTCAAATCATGATGTATCATTTTAGGTTGACAAATTTTTTGCAACATTCTCAAGGGGGCTCTCCACGTGGTGCAAATTTCCAGCAGAATCAGCAGTAGTGCACGCGTCGCTGGATTTGGAGAGCGCGAAAATACAATAACAAGTGGAGGGAACGCAGACAAGAATGAGCCAAGAATGTAATTTCAGTCGGCTTCATTATTATTTCTGTCTCGAGTATGCGATATATTTTCTCATCGCGCGCGCGAGGAGGCGGCCGCCGCGGCGCACATGGGCCTTCATTACTGCAGCTCCCGCGTCTCTCATCACAGAGTAGTGCATCGTCGTCATTATTATTTCGCCTGTATTTATCATATTTGGCGCACATGCACAGACGATAATACGACAGCATTGTCTCCTCGGCAGAAAAAAACTTGTTATATATATCGCGGGCGTGTGCACTTGTCTCTGGATCCCGCGAGAGATCTGCGCGCTCTCACCCCATTCGATTCTCTCAACCGCGGCAACCCCTTGCGAAAAAGAGAGAGCTACTGCGCCCCCACGGTGATATAAAATTCCTTTTGTGGCTCATCTGAATCAATAAAACGGGCAAACAATGCAGAATGCATATTTGTCATGCATGCAAATACAAACCAAATTTGCTTACAAGTAATTGAATCGACTTGTGTTGAGAGCAGCAGGAGGATTGGAATATAAAAGCAGAGAATAAATAAATTGACTTCTGTTGTTATTGCCTCTCGTTGTGTCAAGTTTTATCACAAGCCACAGTGATGAAACTTGAATACTTTTGCGCCGCGGGAAAATTGAAACAGGAAATTTGATTACATTTTAAAATTAAATCTATTTAGGAAAATATTACTAACAGAAATTTTTACAGTTTATTAATTAATTAATCTCAATCATCAGATAAATTGAGTTGACAAGGAGGTTGCAAATTTTGACAACTGTTTGCTATAAAAATTTCCAGAAATTTTAATCAGGCTAATAGAAAACAGATTTTTTTTAAAAGTAATTAAAAATATTAATTTTACAAAAATCCAAGATTGATCAATATATTAATTATACTATTTTATAAGAGCAGCTTTTACTAGATCAGATTATATTTATTTATAAATTCTTCTTGTTTCATTTACCCTTTGCCCTGTAATAGAGAAAACCTGTGAGCAGATTTAAAAAAATTGAATGTCGAAATTAATCAATTATTCATATTATCGCTTTTCGCAGGTGAGAACAAGTCGGCGGCTCGCGCGCACACGAAAGGTGTGTTCTGCGATGCAAATGACGCGACCCGAAGTTAAAACAACCGCCCACCTGAGCTCGGTCACCTGCGTGCGTTTGCACCTGAGCAGTCTCAGGTACAGCCTTCGCAAACGGCACCTCCCTCCACTCGACGGCAGCACGGAATTAATTAGAGAGAGAAAGAGACAGAGAAAAAAATTGATTCAAAAAATAAATATTGTACTCACTGCTGTTTCTTGAGCTGGGCGAAGGTGTTGGCCGAGAGAATGTCGTGGTGGTTGAAGGCAGGGGTGATGTCGCCGCCGGTTCTGCTCACTAGGGAAGCACCTTGCATACTAGCCCCTGTTGCAAAGCAGCACACAAGTCACCAAGATTAATGTCAGGTGGAAATTGCAGAAGTTCGATGTTTCGAATGATTTCAGCACAGAGAGTTTTGGGAAAAACAATCGGTTTTGAGGAGAGAGTGTGAGTGTGTTTAGCACAGCGGTCGGATCATGGTCCGGAGCGGCGCAATCTGGCTGAGAGAGTGCGGTGCGGCTGGTGCTGCTACTGCGATGGGAATTATTTTCGAGTGCGAGAGACTGGCAGCGCGCGCGTCTTCTCTCTCCGCTGGACCAGATGGATGCTGTGTGTGTGTGTGTTACTCTCTTCTTCTTGCATGCACACTGGTGGGCAGGGCCGATCTTTAAAACAGAGTGGGGAGTACCAAAGGGTGCCGTGGAGAAGAAAAGAGACAACAGCCAATGGTTAAGCTCGCTCCACTGTGTTTAGCACCGCGCGCGCTCTGCGCGGGTGGAAAACTACTTGCCAGGGGTATATTTTATTCTCTCGCTCGCTCGCTCCATACACATAACGTGCATTACTGCCGCTGACGCACGCTGTGCATGCATCCATAATTTCCCATGGATTTAGAGGTACATTGTCAAAAGTTTGCAATAAAATAATTAAATATTAGTTTAAAAAAAATGTTATTTTTATATATTTTACTTGGTAAATTTATTTTTGTTCAATAAAATATTAAATGTAAAAAAATGTTTACAATGTAATTATTGGGATTTTATTATTATTATTATTATTATTATTGATCTTCTTATATATTTAATTTATTTGTTTTTCTTGGAATAAGTGTGTTCTTCATGAATTATTTAATTATTTAATAATTTCAAATATTTCTGTTTCTTTGATGAATTAATCTTGATATTCTTGATCAAATTCAAATTGGTCAGATGGGTCAGAGTTATTGTTATTAGCTTCAATTACTTCGTGTACATTCGGAAATTTATGTGTCATTTAAATTGTTATGGAATTAAAAATCATATCAGAAAGCCAATCTACACGAAAAACAAATTTTAATTTAAAAACTAATATATTTGATTTTAATCCTGTCCACTAATTATTGCACTGAATAAAATAAATGCATTTTTAAAGGAAAAATAATACTATAAACGTCCGCAGAAAGCAGAATAAATACAAAATTTATGGTTGTAATTATTTTCAGAATTCCCTCCATGATCAACATCTCACAGGTGCTTGACTCTCATTTTATTGATTTTCCAGCCAGTTTGCTTGTCAATAAAATAATATCAAGACTTCCAGATCACCGTGCACCTAAATTTATGTCTTTTCTCGACGCATATTAATATAAGCAGAGCAGTCACTTTGTAATGTGAATCTGCATCACCTGCTGCTCCATACGTACATACACTATTTATTTATATATATATAAAAAAAATAATGCCATTGGCAGGAATTAAAAATGCGTTTACCTGCAGCTCCCATTGCACGGTGGCCAGCAAAATTAAAAGAATTTTTCACGTGCAAAGCTCTCTTTATGCATCGCAGGTATGCATATTTATACAACATTCGAGCTGCCTCGGTCATACAATTAATTTTAAAATATTACACGCCGCCAAGCCACAGCAATTAAATTTATACTCACAGGCCATGGATGCATGAAGAATGCTGCATCAGGAGAATTAATATATATGAAAACATACTAACTCACTTTATGTATTTATATTTAATTTTTGTGTGTGCAATTTCAATTTTAATTAATGCAGCGCGCATCTCTCTCGCGATTCCTCTGCTCTGCCGCGGATGACGAGAGAGATAAATGAGAAGTTAGTTGGGCTGTGTACGTTTGTGCGTTAACTGTACAACTTAATTGCTATGACCTGCTACGTCTTTTAATTATTCTTCATATTTATGGGAACGCCAAGGCATATCAGCTGTTCCAGCGTGTCTAAAGAGAGAAAGAGATGCATCATGACTTTGGGCAAATGTGAGAATTGGCAATGAAAGGCGTTTAATTGAAAGTCATTATTTTCATTAAAAGAAGTTCTGCATTTTTCATAATGTATTTTCTTTTATTCTTTATTATTAAATGATATTATTTGTTAAATAGAAAAAGTAAAGTTATTAAAAAAATCTGAATTTTGGGAGAGAAATTTGATTAAAAATTATGAAATTAATCTTTTTTCTTTTCAAATAAGCATTTGTTCTTGAAAATCTGCATTTCTTCGCATAATATTCAAATTTTTTGAAATAATAAATCACTACATTATGCTGGGTTTGATTAATTAAGCCATCATAAAACCATCTTCGTCGTAAAAGAAATAAAGATGGAATTGAATTGAATCCATAAAATAAGTATAAATTGAAAAGCCTTTTTCTTTACTTTTATATATATTTTTTTAAATTATTTAATTTATTAAAATTTATTGATCAAAACATGTTAATGTTTAAGTTTATTGAAGTAAAAACAACAGTTAAACTAAACAGTATCTATTCTACTATTATTATTTCCTAAATTAAAACCTAAATTAATTTCTCTCTTATTATTTTTCCATATTCCACTATAAATATTTCTCTTATTTAATTGATTTATTTGCTGTTTACAATTAAACCATAAAATATTACAATAAATATCAAGGAGAAAATTTCTTATTTTGGTTTATAGTTCTCATTCAGTTTTGCATTTGACGTGCAAACCCTTTCGAAATAAAAATTACTCCGAGTGTGAACACTTACAGGAATTATTTCGCTCCAAATGCTTGACCGTTTGTCATAATTGTGTTTCGCGTCGCCCTTTGGCAGAAGATTCGCATACACGGGGTCTCTGCGAGCATCACAGTTTAAAAGGGTTGAAGTCATTCCGGCGGCATAGCAGGACAAATTTAATAAAGCATCAACTTTAGCACCCTTGTGTGTGCAGCTCGAGCCGTGTGTTTCGAATCGTACGCGTTTCTTTTTCAAGCGCGACTTAATTGCAAAGTACACACGTGCGCATCTCTCATCACCGCGCTGATCTTCAACCATCAAAAGTTCAAAACGCCGGTTATTAAAATAAAAAAAAACAACACTTTTCTGCAAGAGCATTTTTATGCGCGTCAGATAAAAAGAGAGCAGTTCCATGATAATGACGAGACTCCGCAAATTGAGACGCATGGCCGCTCGCATTTTTATTTGTGTATATGTATCGCGCTTTTTGTCACAATTAAAAATCGCAAAAAAGCCGTACGAGTATCAAAAAAGTTTCCGTCTCGTTGCATAGTTTCAAAGTGCGCTCGCCTTACAATGAGAGAAAGCATCAAAAACGCGCAGAGAGGCCAAACGGCTTCTGAAGCTTCTCCTTTTAAACTGGATATATATTTTAAATGCAAAAAATACGCACAAATAAACACACGCTCTCTTTTGTAACTTTTAAATTTTATTCGGGGGGACGGCGCAGTCTTTCGTCGTCACTCTCTCATTTTTTCGCGTCTCGGTGGGTGTCTCATTAAAATGCGACGTTATTTTTTTCAATGAAGAAGAGTGTGGAGGACTGCTTAAACGCTCACATGGACACAGTTAATTAATTTCATCACGAAATTTCGCGCCGAAAAGAGGCGAGCTGCAATTTAACGGCTGTATAAATCGCATTTTCGCCATCGCCTGCTGCTGCTGCTGCTTAATGGTAATTTAATCTTAATTGCGTTACATCACACCCTGCTGGCGCGGTGCGTGTGCAGGGGTGTGAAAGTGTGTGCGAGAGCCTGCCGGAATTCGCACCTACCACCTTTAATAATACATAAAGCGTGAATCTGAAAGCTTTTCGCAACCGCCGCCTTTCTTGTGTGTCTCTGCCATGCTGCATGACTTGTCTCGCGATAAATATTTAATGAAATAACATTAAACTTGGCTCTTTATGTTTGGTAGTGCTGAGCGTGCTCCATCTCAAGCAGAAAGTTTTGAGTTAATTTCCTTAATTTTCTTACGGATGTCGCCGTCAAAACCCCCTTTGCTTAAGGTTCGTTGGTTGCTTAGCTTTCGAGAGAAACTCCCAAACTGGTATCTCTGCTAATCAAACCAAAGTTGCCAAACTTTGGATTCAGTTTCCGCATAGATTATGAAATAATGAGTCTCGGTGAATACGGCTTTTGCTCATTTCACTTTCGGAGGCTGTGCGATTTTTTTTCTTGCTCTCTTTGTTTCCCTCTTGGCTTGGCGAGGGGAGGAACGAATCTCGGCGTGCATAAAAAGTTGCCCCATTGTGATGCGCCGCGAGCTGCATCAGAAGTGGATGGATACTTGTGTGTGTGTGTGTGTGTGTGTGTGTGTGTGTGTGTGTGTGTGCTGAATGTGGGAAAAAATAATGGGAAAAAGTCAAGAGTTGCGGAAACACGTGACTCGCGGATGTTATTATTCTTTCGGCACGCGCCGCTAACGAACGACTTTTTATCTGGAGCAATTATCTGCAATTTTTTTTTTTTTAAATAAAATATGGTTTTCACTCATGCCAGTGGACTGATTGAATAATAATAATAACATTCAATCAATAATGAACCTAATACTAATATAAGTTAATGTCATTTTATGTTAGATGCTAAAAAAATAAATTACACAATTTGTAATTTTATGGAAATGAAGCGATCGGGCTTTTCCTCGTTGCAGAAAAATTGTTTTTATTCAAAAGCAAATGTTTGCTGAAAGAATGACAAGGCAGTTTTAAATTAAATTTATATTTTATCATTTTTATTCATAAATAATTAAAATAATTTTATTTATTTTCTATTTCATTGATTTTTTAATTTAAAGAGGATAAATATGACTCTAGAAGAATTTTTAAAGCAAAATCTATATAATTTTAATATCTGCATCATTCCACTGGAGTTATTCTGTTAAAATAAATTAAAATTAACCCCACAATTTTCTTCTCTGTCGTTTAAATTGTATTAAATAATATAAGTTGTTACATGATCTGTTAGAATATGAAAATCAAAATTGTACATTATCAAAAATTAGATGCATTGACACATTGCAGACTGAAAAATATAAAATAAAATTGAATATAATTTGTGAAA